AAAGATCATTCTGTCCCTCCTTGTCTCTGTAAATCTGATCTGCCTTTCCAGTAAAAATAAATAAATAAATGAGAATATGACTATAGGGCCTGGCTTGGTAGCCTAGTAGTTAAAGTCCTCACTTTGCATGCACCAGGATCACGTATGAGCACTGGTTCTAATCCACTTCCCGTCCAGCTTCTTGCTTATGACTTGAGAAAGCAGTCTCCTCCCAAAGCCTTGGGACCCTGCACTCATGTGAGAGGCCCAGAAGGGGCTCCAGGCTCCTGGCTTTGGATCAACTCAGCCTCTGGCCATTGCAGCCACTTGGAGAGTGAATCAGCAAACAGCCGTCTCCCTGTTCACTGTCCTGCAGCGATGGACTTGGCCAGTAATATCACATGTGGACTACTGACTGATAATCAATAGCCAGTTTGTTAATAGCATCAGACTTTTCTTTTTAAAGAAGACTTTTTTTGGTAATGATTTATTTTATGTTTATTGCAAAGTCAAATATACAGAGAGGAGGAGAGACAGAGAGAAAGATCTTCCGTTCATTGATTTACTCCCCAAGTGACTGCAACGGCCAGAGCTGAGCTGATCCAAAGCCAGGAGCCAGGAGCTTCTTCCAGGTCTCCCACATGGATGCAGGGTCCCAAGGCTTTGGGCTCCTGGGCTGGGCCCAGCATCAGACTTTTAAAAGAAGGTTGTCATGATGGCATCCAGGGAGGGGGCTTGAGCCATTTACATTTCAACAGCAAGGGACAGTCCTCCAATACACAACTTATTCCTCTAGCAGGTTCTTCATCTAAGCCTGAGGGACCAGGAAGTCTCCTGTCCATTCATCTCCATATCAACTGCTCTGGAGCCTTTCCAAGGAGATTCAACTGGCTCTGTCTCCCACAATAGCAAAGATTCTGTATGTCCTTCTCCATCTCCCCTCCTCCCTGTATATCTGACTTCCCATTAAAAGTAAATATATGTTAAAAAAAAAAAAGAATGTGACTGTATGGGATGGAACAAAGAGGTAATTTAAATTAAATCTTGCTTAGGGCCTAATCCAACATGACTGAGAAGAGAATAAGGACAGAGCGATAACACCAAAGGTACAGTCCTGTCCGCAGAGCCAGGCCATGCACACACAGAAAGAGCGCACGTACAAATGGAGAGGCTCGGAATGAACCAATCCGTGCACACCGCACATTAGGCCTGTTCTAGAACAGCCAGGAAACAAACCTTTGTTGCTTCAACTACCTGCTAGGTGCTTAGTGCATTTAAAGCTCCTAAAGTCCTTATGTTGTTACCGCAGCTAATTCCCACAGTCAAGTCCTCTTTTCACGATTAGTTTACTGCAAGCCAAAATCCCACACGCAGCATGGTGCTTAGTAGGTCCTTTATTCCAACAGGGTAGGAACGGAAGCAGGGGCGAAGGGAGAGAAAACTAGAAGGAACACATCTCCTGCCAGGGCAGGGCAAGGGACAAGATGGAGGAGGGTCGGGAGAGCCGGGAGAAGGGAGGGGCTGTGTGGACTGTGTACTGGCCCCCGGGGACTTGTGACTGAGACGATCTGAGCCACAGGTTAGTGGGTGGAGACTAGGGGGAGGGGTCGGAGACTGGGGAATGGGATTATCAGGTTACATCTGATTGGTGGATAACCCGGATGAAGTGAATTTTGTGAGCTAGGGCGGGAGGGAGAGGGGGGAGAAGGGGAAACAGGAAGTGGCACCGGGTCCGAGATGGGATGTTCGAATCACTGCTCACATTGTCCAGCTGCAGGGTTTCATGACAGCAATCCCAGCAAATGCAATCAAGGCTATTTTGCTCTATTTGCCAGATATAAAAGAGCAAAACTGAGTACATCTTTCAAAAACCCTCCATGGTCACCATCTCTTTGGCCCTAGAGACTTCTCAGTTCCTGCCTTACCTGGCTCATCTCCGCCTGGAAAATTGCTGACCTGAGTAAGCATAGGCCTAAAGGCCTCCCTATCCACCCTGCCTCCACTCCAGCTACTACTGCTTCTCCAAGCTTCAGGCTGTTCTGGGTCTCCGGGAAGGCTGTGAAGGGTGAGGTGGGACAAATAGACCTTTATGCAGCTGAATGATTGGGTGGGCCCTCTTTAACAGCACAGGGGGATGAATCACCAGTGGGAGCAGAGAGTGCCATAGTGAGAACTCAGGCAGTGACCCCAGTGCAATGGCTCAATAGCTAAATCCCATCTGGGCACCAGTTCATGTCCAGCTACTCTATTTTCCATCCAGCTCCCTGCTTGTGGACTGGAAAGGCAGTAGAGGACGGCCCAAAGCCTTGGGACCCTGCACCGATGTGGGAGACGCGGAAGAGGCTCCTGGCTCCTGGCTCCTGGCCTGGGATCAGTTCAGCTCTGGCTGTTACAGCCAATTTGGGGAAGGAGCCAGTAAATGGAAGATCTTTTTCTCTGTCTCTCCTTCTCTTCGTAAATCTGATCTGCCTTTCCAGTAAAAATAAATAAATCTTAAAAAAAAAAATTTCAGGCAGTGAGGGTGTGGCTCAGATCTGGGTGCAACTTGAACCTGGGTGTGAGGGGGAAGTAGAGCTGGCAGGAATGGTGACAGGAGTGGGCACCCAGCATTTGTTGACTTTGCTGTGCACTCTGTGTAAAGTTGGTCTTTCCTTCACTCTCCTGTTTACTTCCTTCATGGCACTTTTCACAACCTTCAATTACCCTGTTTAGGTACCTGCCTGTTGTCTGTTTCCATCTACTAGGATGTAAACTAAATGAGGGACAGATTCCATCCAGTTTCATCTGGGCGGGTGCCCTGGATAATCTCTGAGGAACCAGCAATATTAGTGACTGACCACATGGTCCTGAGAGAACAGAATAGAGGGCAATGCAACCAGCAGGAGCTACAGTCTTTGCACAAACACTCCGGAGGGATTACTACCCTGCCGGTCTCTGATCTTGGGAAGGCTGGGCTCTAAGCAGGGGCCTAAGACTCCAGAGGGCCCCAAGACAGTCATTCAGTTGCCTTTTGCTAGCATCTGAGATAACCCAGTTCTTACTCTTTATATTCTGGCCTGCTGCTTGCTGACCTGGTGGGTATTTTCAGGGGGAAGAGAATAGAAGACTCTGCAGGAACCAGTGATCCACCCCTCAAAAGCCATGTGGTACAGTGCGTTAAGCTGCTCCCTGGGATGTCAGAATCCCGCATAGGTGCTGGTTCAAGTTCAGGTTGCTCCAGTTGTAATTCAGCTTCCTGCTGGGTGCCTGGGAAGGTTGATAACAGCCCCAGTACTGGGGCCCCTTGCCATCACATGGGAGGCCTGGTGAGAGTTCTAGGTCTCTGGTAATTCAGGGACTGGACCTTTTGATGAAAGATCTCTCTTTCCATCTCTCCCTAACTCCACATTTCAAATAAATACAGCTTAAGAAAGAAAAAACAGAGTGAAGTGAGGTTGGTATTGTAGTTAAGCCAGTTCCTGGCACCTGGCTTTGATCTGGCCCACCTCTGGCTGTTGTGGCCACTTGTGGGGGGTGAATCAGCAAGCAGAGGATCTCTGTGTATCTCCCTGCTTATCAAATAAATAAGCATTGTTAGAAAAAAAAAAAGGCAGGGCCCACATGGGGGTCTAGCAGCTAAAGTCTTTACCTTGAAGGCATCAGGATCCCATATGGGCGCTGGTTCTATCCCGGTGGCCCCGCTTCCCATCCAGCTCCCTGTTTGCGGCCTGGGAAAGCAGTTGAGGACAGCCCAAAGCCTTGGGACCCTGACCCGGATGAAGCTGCTAGCTCCTGGGTTTGGATCTTTGGATCATCTCAGCTCCAGCCACTTGAGGAGTGAATCATTGGATGGAAGATCTTCCTCTCTGTTTCTCCTCCTCTCTATATATCTAACTTTCCAATAAAAAAATAAATCTTAAAAAAAAAATGGTAGGGCCCAGCGGCGTGGCCTAGCAGCTAAAGTCCTTGCCTTGAATGTGCCGGAATCCCATATGGGTGCCGGTTCTAATCCCAGCAGCTCCACTTCCCATCCAGCTCCCTGCTTGTGGCCTGGGAAAGCAGTAGAGGACAGCCAAAAGCTCTGGGACCCTGCACCTGTGTGGGATACCCGGAAGAAGTTCCTGGTTCCCTGGCTTCAGATCAGCATAGCATCGGCCGTTGCGCTCACTTGGGGAGTGAATCATCGGATGGAAGATCTTCCTCTCTGTCTCTCCTCCTCTCTGTATATCTGGCTTTCCAATAAATAAATAAATCTTAAAAAAAAAGGGGGGGGTATAAGTTAACCCCATACCCCTGGGGGCCCCTGAAGCTGGCCGGCTATTCTAGGATGCGTTATCCGGCTCGGTACTGCAGGGGGCAGCACTGACCTGGTCTGGCTGGTCTGAGCCAGGGCGCGGATCTCTTGGGACCGAAAAGTCGAACCCTGACACGCCCAGGCGAAAGCTGGAGCCTCCGCAGCCTCTCAGCCTGCTCCCTCCCCGGCTAGCCGGAAAGAAACCAGGAGCTCCGTCCGGCCTCTCACATGGGTGGGTGGGCAGGGATCAAGCTTTCCTAGGACACTAGCAGGGAGCTGAGAAGAGAAGTGGAACCGCCGGGACACGAACCAGCATGCCGGCGGCGGCTTTAGCCACCATGACGCCTAACCGCAGGCAACTATAGCAGGAAATTTTTTAAGTTGGTCATTTTGTGTAGTCCCTATCCACATGGATGCGCCATGGCCAGGGCGAGGTCCGCAGGAGACAGGCGACAGCAAACCCCTGCACCTCGTGGTTGACTGACATCGGCAGGAGGCGGGGCCTCGCGGCGCGGGAGGCGGGGCTTCGATGACGCCGGCCCGGTGAGGGGCGTGGCCTCGCGGTGACTCGCCGCCAGGAAGGGGCGGGGCTGTCGGTGACGCGCCGCCGGGGAGGAGACAGGCGTTCATTGATAAAAACGCTGGGCTCCCTGAGGCGCGAGCGCAGCGTAGCAAATCCAGGCAGCGCCACGCGCGGCCCGGGCCGAGCCCAGAGCCAGCCGGGCCCGCGCTGCGTCGCGCCGTCCGCATGGAGCCCGCAGCCACCGGCTTCCTGTCCCCGCGTCCTTGCCCGCGAGCCGCCGCCCCGCCCGCGCCCCCCGCCGGGCCCGGGCCGCCTCCGAGTGCCTCGCCCAGACCCGACCCCAACATGCTGGCCGGGCGACCAGCGCCAGACCCCGGGCGCCTCATCACCGACCCGAGCAGTGGCCGCACCTACTTCAAAGGCCGCTTGTTGGGCAAGGTGGGCCGGGGGGCTGCGGGCGGCGGGGAGGTGATGCGGGCGGCGTGTGGAGAAGGATCCGCCGATGGCTTTTCCGGCGTCGGGCGGGGTAGGGGCGCGTGACCCGACGCGCGCGGGGACGCGTGTGCGGGCCCGATCCGCCTTTCCCTGGAAGCGCCGGGACTGACGCCCCCCACTCCTCACAGGGGGGCTTCGCCCGCTGCTATGAAGCGACTGACACCGAGACCGGCAGCGCCTACGCGGTCAAAGTCATCCCGCAGAGTCGCGTCGCCAAGCCGCATCAGCGCGAGAAGGTGGGTCCCGAGCCGGACGGGTGGGTGGGGTCGCCTGGACGCCTGGGAGCCGTGGAAGGATGACAGCCTCGAGTCGCCCCTTTCCTTCTATTGCAGATTCTCAACGAGATTGAACTGCACCGAGACCTGGAGCACCGCCATATCGTGCGCTTCTCGCACCACTTTGAGGATGCCGACAACATCTACATTTTCCTGGAGCTTTGCAGTCGAAAGGTGAGGGGTGGTGATTCAGGCAGGGATGGGGGAGTGTGATGTGAAAGTATGTGGGGGACCCTGGGTGGAGGGAGGGCTTGGGGCGGCCTCGGAGGCTGAGGCAGTGGCTCTCTGCAGTCCCTGGCCCACATCTGGAAGGCACGGCACACCCTGTTGGAGCCTGAGGTGCGGTACTACCTACGGCAGATTCTTTCCGGCCTCAAGTACTTGCACCAGCGGGGCATCTTGCACCGGGACCTCAAGCTGGGTGAGACTCCTGGGCCAGAAGCCCGGCAAGGGTGGGGGGTGTGGGGAGGAAGCCCTGGAAGCCTCTGACACACCTCCTGTGTCCTCATCCAGGAAATTTCTTCATCACTGAGAACATGGAGCTGAAGGTGGGGGATTTCGGGCTGGCATCCCGGCTGGAGCCCCCGGAACAGAGAAAGAGGTAAGAGTCCACAGGGAGGGGTGGAAGAAGGGGTCATGGGTTGTGTGTGAGTGCAGGGGGCAGTCTGGCTTCCTGGGGCTGATGTGTGGGTAACACACTCAGGCGGAGTTGGTGGCCTCTGGGTCTAATCTTGGTGTGTCAGGATTTGCAGAGGTGGATGGCGGCCCTGTGTGGACTGGGGAAGGTGACAGGCAGTGTAGACGGGACGCGTGAGACAGACTGAGGGTGAGGGAACGGCAGAGGATGGTGTCCCGTGGCTAAGAAGGCAGCCTTGTGACTGGGTGTGCATGACACGCACAGCGCACAGCGTGTGAAGCCCATGAGTGTTCAGGGTTCCTGTGACAGCTGCTGTTGCTGTGTGTGGCACAGACCTTGGGAGGTGACAGCCTGGTGGCTGTCTGACATATGGGAGTGAGGGGAGGGGGAGGGAGCAGCAGGAGCCCCTCTGTGGGGGAAGGTGGAGGGCCAGGATGGGGTCAAACCTCCCACCCTCTTTCTCCAAAGCCGTGCGGCAGCTGGGCCAGAGAATGGGCGGAGCCTCAGCTGCCATCCCTGGGCATCTATTGTCCCAGGACAAGCAGGAGTTCTCTGGCCTTTGGTGACAGGCAGCTGCTTTGTCTGGGCTCCCAGCGGGGGGTGGGGAGGGAGAGCTGCTGGGCGGGGGCTGAGCCTCTCTCCCCTCCCCCTTCCTACCTTCTTGCAGGACCATCTGTGGCACCCCCAACTATGTGGCTCCGGAAGTCCTGCTGAGACAGGGCCATGGTCCTGAGGCAGATGTATGGTCCCTGGGCTGTGTCATGTGAGTGCCACGCTGGGACAGGTGCTGGGTCCAGGCCTGGGGGGTCACCCTTCCCCTCATGCCTTTCCCCTGCTCCTCCCCCAGGTACACGTTGCTCTGTGGGAGCCCACCCTTTGAGACAGCTGACCTGAAGGAGACCTACCGATGCATCAAGCAAGTCCACTACACGCTGCCTGCCAGCCTCTCACTGCCCGCCCGGCAGCTCCTGGCTGCCATCCTTCGTGCCTCACCCCGAGACCGCCCCTCTATTGACCAAATCCTGCGCCATGACTTCTTTACCAAGGTTTGTGGTTCCCCAGAGGGCGGCCATGTCCCTGCTGCATATTCCCATGGGATTCCATAGGGACGGGTACCAGCTTCCCTGGTACCCCTTTCCTCTTCATGTTCACCGTGCTCCTCCCCCCAGGGCTACACCCCCGACCGGCTCCCTGCCAGCAGTTGCGTGACAGTCCCAGACCTGACACCCCCCAATCCAGCTAGGAGTCTGTTTGCCAAAGTCACCAAGAGCCTCTTTGGCAGGAAGAAGAATAAGAGTGAGTTAGAGGTGGCAGTGGGGAGGGGTATGAGCGAGCAGGGATGGCAACCCTGTGGCTGGCAGGGCCATGGGGCGGGACACTGAGGGGCCGTCTCCTCACCCCTAGACAAGAACCGCAGCGAAGAGCGGGATGAAGTCTCCCGCCTGGTGAGCGGCCTTGTGCGCACATCCATTGGCCGGCAGGAAGCCATGCCTGAGGTGAGCTTTGCACGGTGCCACTGACTCACCCTCAGCCCCGCAGCCCACGGAAGCCTGGGATGAGAGAGGCTGGGGAGGCATCTGCCTCATGCTGGCCTAATTGGCTGGAACTCATTAGCCAGCTGGAGCTGACCTGGAGTGCCCTGGGAGCCGGGAGAGGGTTGGGCCTCCCAAGGATTTGGATTTGGGCACCCATCTCTTTCCCTTGCCCTACATGATCCTCCAGGCTCCCGCAGCTTCTGGCCCAGCTCGTGTCAGCCTGGTAGAGACAGCAGCTGAAGACAGCTCTCCCCGTGGGACACCGGCCAGCAGCGGTGATGGTGAGAGCTGCACTAGGGATTGCTGGGAGCTGAGGCCATCTCCCCACCCCCGGCACTCCCAAGGAAGGAGTGGGCGGGGAGGGGTGCGAGGTGGCCCGGGCCCTGGGGACAGCGGGGTGAGTACTGCCTAACTCCCAGGGCTTGTTCTCCACAGGCTTTGAAGAAGGTCTGACTGTGGCCACAGTGGTGGAGTCAGCCCTCTGTGCTCTGAGAAACTGTGTGGCCTTCATGCCCCCAGGTGAGGCTGGGTCTGGGACATGTGGATGGCCACGCGAGTGCTCGGGCTGTGAGGTCAGAAGCAGGTCCTGACCCCCCCCCCTCTATGACAGCTGAACAGAACCCAGCCCCTCTTGCCCAGCCGGAGCCTCTTGTGTGGGTCAGCAAGTGGGTGGACTACTCCAACAAGTTCGGCTTTGGCTATCAGCTGTCCAGCCGCCGCGTGGCCGTGCTCTTTAATGATGGCACCCACATGGCTTTGTCGGCCAACAGGAAGTAAGCACCGCTGTGGGGATGGGGGGGCGGGGCTGCTGGGAGGGGAGGCAGTGGCGGCACACAGGTACAGGGCCCTCCCTCCCACAACCTGATCTCCGCCTCTCCACTTCCAGGACTGTGCACTACAACCCCACTAGCACCAAGCACTTCTCCTTCTCGGTGGGGGCCGTGCCTCGGGCCCTGCAGCCTCAGCTGGGTGTCCTGCAGTATTTCACCTCTTACATGGAACAACACCTCATGAAGGTGCATGGGCTGGAGGCTGGGTCCCATCGAGACTGACACTCCTTTCCCCTTTGATGGTGGTCGGTGGTGCTGTGGCACGGGCTGGGGGTGGGGACACACGACGGCTCCAAGCTAGAGGCTGAACTCTCCTGGAAGAGACATTGGTGGGGAAGGGGCCTGATGTCGGTCAGCCCTGTGACCTGCCCTGCCACTGCTCTCAGGGGGGAGATCTGCCCAGCGTGGAAGAAGTGGAAACGCCTGCCCCACCACTGCTATTGCAGTGGGTCAAGACCGATCAGGCTCTGCTCATGCTCTTTAGTGACGGCACTGTCCAGGTAAGAGCCCAACCTGTTCTCGGGGCGGGGAGAAGGGCTTAGGAAGCCTGCAACCCCCGGGGTGCTGATCAGTGCTCCTTCTCTCCTGTGCACAGGTGAACTTCTATGGGGACCACACCAAGCTCATCCTCAGCGGCTGGGAGCCCCTACTCATCACCTTTGTAGCCCGGAATCGCAGTGCCTGCACTTACCTCGCCTCCCACCTCCGGCAGCTGGGCTGCTCCCCCGACCTGCGGCAGCGACTCCGCTATGCCCTGCGCCTGCTCAGGGACCGCAGCCCGGCCTAGTTCCCCGGAGCTAAGCCAGCAAGCTGGAGGCCTGCACTGTGGCCCTCCCTGTCTCTTTGGTGCCTCCTTTTGCAGGGGCGGGAGGGAAGGAGAGGCTCTAGGTGGAATCCTTCAGGGAATCGGGGACCAGCTTTACTGGAGTTGGAGACCCTGCTTGTTGCCACGGTCTCCCTCCTCCCTCCAAAAGCCTGAGCCGAAGCCTCCAGCTAGGGGGTGTTACTTATGGACCACTTTTATTTATTGACACTTATTTATTGGGATGTGAGCCCCAGGAGGGCCCCTCCTGGGACAATAAACCTTTTTTTTTTTTGCATAACTTTGGAGGCCTGTTCACTCGCAGTAGAGCCCGTGGACAATGGCCACGGCAAAGAGTGAAGCATTGGTGAAGGTGGTGGAGGCCAGGCCATCGCAGGCTGCATCCCAGAGCGTGCGGCTGACCACATGCACGCCCTGGCCCGTGCGCGGCCCCAGCACCACGCTGCACACTAGCTTGTAGCGGGGCGGGCTGAGCTCGCGCAGGCGCACATGCACCTGCTCACAGAGTTCCCTTGTCAGTTGCCCAGCCTCAGCGAAGGAGTAGCAGGTGTCTTGCAGCCTCGCTGCCAGCACCTCCTCCAGGGCCTGCTGTGCCCGCACAACCTCCCAACGCTCCCCGGGTGCCGGCTCCATGCGGTATGAAGGTGCCACACGCCGAATGGGGGCCAGAGACCACCCGGATAAGTTAAACCGTGAGCCCAGAGCAGGCATTGGGCCAAGGGATGGTCTCCGGCCTCCAGGACCTGCGCCTGGCCCAACCAGCGAGCTGCGGCGTGAGAAGGATGTGGCTAGGCCCAGCACTGAGCCCCGGCGGGAAGCTGTGCCGAGACCTGTGGGTCCGGCCTCATCGATGCTGGGCAGGCCGCCCCGGGGCTTCACTGGTATGAGTTTTGGCCCAGCGTCTTTGGCGGTCTCCTCCTCCTGGCGTCCACTGGGCAGAGGCTTGCCAGCCATGGATCTGCAGGCTGGAGAACTCGAGCTGAGGGTGGCCGTCACTGGTGGTCTTTCTCCACCACCCAGCCTTTGGCAGCGATGGCAAGGGCTTCTGTCCTTTCCTCTTCTTAACTGTGTTTTTAGAGCAAGTGGAACACACAGAGCTGGGCTGCGCAGCTTCCTAGGGCTTAGTGTGTTAATGGCTAGTAGGGATATGAGCCAGGGAAGGTACACTGCTGACTCTGAGCCTGAGCCAGCCCCTGCCACCAGCAGCCACACTGTCCCTTGGACGCTATGGAGGCCAGTGGAAGAAGGGGAGATGGAGCTGGCTTCTGACTGAGCTGGAATAGGAAACAGTTCCTCTGACCCCTAAAAAGGAGGCATGGACAGACCCAATTATTTGCACCCACAGCTCCTTCCACCCCCAGAGGCACTGGGTGCAGTCACCTTTGACCCCTACCTGTGCTGAGCTCCAACTAGCAATGGTGGCTGGAGGCAGGTGATTAGGAAGCGCCTTCCACCTGCTGCTTTGGATCTCGCCTCTCCAGAATCTGTTCTGGGATCATTGCCCTTTTCTCCCGAAACTCCCGCGGGCATCTGAGTCACCTGCAGCCTTTGGCCTCCAAGCCCTCTCCTGGTCTGATCAGCAGGTGGAAGGAGAAGGCGTGTGTTGTGGAGTTGCCATGGGTTGCTAGGCCACGCGCTCCTCCCACCCCCTGCTCTTCCCTCCAGCCCTGCTGTGGCGTCACTTGCTGAGCGTGGTGTGGCCCTGAGTCATGGGTAGAAGGGAGCTGTGTGGGTTGGGAGCACAGGCTACTCCTCCATGGACAACTGGAGGCCCTGGGCCCAGAGGTGTCTTCCTGCCGCAGAGCTCTCAAACGAGCGGTCATCTCCCATGAAATGGCTGGGAGTCCTGCCCCACTGGTGAACAAGAAACAGGAGACCTGGGATATGGGAAAACCTGGAGGTTGCGAGGGCAGCTGCTGGAATCCAGGCTCCAGGCCCACAGGAAGGAGTGCGTCATGGCTCTATCTTCTCCCCATCAGCCCTGAGGACAGTGGGGACAAACATTTCCGCTCCAGGCGCAGAGCTGGGGTGGGGCTGGATGACTTCCTCACTTCTGGGCTGGTGCGGGGGAGGGGAGGCCTATGGGCTCAGCTGGTCCGAGCCAAGCCTGACGCAATCCTGACTCTCCTGACTCGACGGTGACCCAAGGTCAGTCTCCTGACCCTTGCTGACCCAAGTGCCCTGAGGCTTGTCTCCAGCTGGCCACGCTTCCTGTGGGGCCCAGTGCTTCCAGGACTCCTCCCCACCCCCCAGCAGCAGGTACATTTCAGGGATGCCAGGGGCTATGATGCCTGTGTCAGAGCTGACACCTCCTCACCTGACCCAGCACGGGGAGGAACTGGGCCGGCTGTCCCAGGAAAGCCAAATCTGCATCCTGAAAACCACCCACGGGGATGAGGATTTTCCCAGCCGAGTGGGGTTTCCCAGGCCTAGCCAATCAGATTCAGACGCAGTGTGCCTGAGGGGGGGTGAGGAACAAGAGGGCAGGTGGCCCGGCCCCAGGCAGGACCCTGGGCAGATGCCTGAAGCAGACCAGTTTTCCCTGTGCCTGTGGGGAGGGGGGCGGAGCCTCCTGCTGGGCCTGGCTCCAGTTTCCATGGAAATCACAGGCTTCCCACCCTGTGGCTGCCTGGGCAAGTTCCCAGCCTGGGCCTCAGCTGCTGCTAATCTCCTTCCCAGACCACAAGCTGCTCTATCCTGCGCCTCTCTGGACCATTCTCAGGGTCTGTCTCTCTCCCTGAGCCTCTGGCCTCCCTCCATAGGCCTCTATGCCTACTTGAGGAGCCTGGGCCTCTTGCATTCTGTCCCTCAACTTTAGCCTCCTGACCAATAGGCTCCTTCCCTTTCTACTCTGGCGTTTCTTGGCTCCTCTGCTGCTGAAGGGCCTGGTGGAGGGTGCAGCCAGCTGCTTTCTGTTCTATCCCGCCCATGGAGACCCCAGGACTGGTTGTTCGTGGGCAGGCTGCGCCCTTCTGCGCAGCACTCCGCAGCCTCATCAACAACCCCCAATACAGGTGAGGGCTGGGGAGGGGAGACGGCTGAGCACAGGCCAGGGTCCGCCTTCTCTGGAACCCCGGTATCTGGTACAGCGGGGAAAAGAGCCCCCTGAGAGCAGGGGTGTAACTCAGTTCACACCACCCCCGCCCCTTTCCCATAAACCGCAGCTTGGTGTGGGGGCTTCCCTCCCGGAGGAGGCCGGAGAACATATGACTGTGTTCTGGAAACTGGGGGATTCACAAGAGAAAACAGAGTTCAAGGAGGCTGAGCCCGCGTCCCAGGCAGGAAGTAGCTCAAAGCTGCTGCGGACTGCTCACTGCTTCTTGCCTGGTTTCTGGCAGCAGGGACCTAGAACGCAGCTTCCTGTCATCAGTGTCTCCAGTCTGGGCTCTTGCCCGTGGCTTGGGGATTCCCACGACTGCCGCTTTAGGACACTTGGAGGGTTGGGGGTTGTCACAGCCTGGCCCCAGTGGTGGGAAGTCCAGGTTTTGGAGCTGGAATTTGGGAGCTTCCTAGCTATCTACCCTCCTCCCCAGCCTTGTTCAGAGGCCCAGAGGCTGGGGCCGGAAGTGATCAGGAAGATGGAAAATGTGGTCTGGCCTCAGGATGGTGCATCACTGCTCTGCGAGTGTGTGTGTGTGTGTGTGTGTGTGTGTGTGTGTGTGTGCAGTGCTCCACATCCACCCTCCAGCCTGGAGGAGGACTGAAAAAGAAAAAGAAAAAAAAAAAAGCTGAGTTTGCAGCAGGGGGGCAGAGCACGAAGGAGTAGGAGGGATTCATCTTGGCGGCGTCAGCCCAGGGGCCTCCCCATTGGTCAAGCCCAGCCACATGCCCTAAGATCCAGGATGTGGGAGGACTGTCCCATCTCATGGGTGAGACAAGTGCAATTCAGACAGCCCCTTGCCTGAGGGACCACAAGATGGAGCTGGCACCAGAACTTGAGCCCATGTATCTGCACCTTCTTCTCCTTTTTATTTTTTTTTCAAAGATTTATTTGTTTTCATTGGAAATATTTACAGAGAGGGGCCTGGCATGGTGGCCTCGCAGCTAAAGTCCTCAGCTTGAACATGCCGGGATCCCATATGGGCGCCGTTTCTAATGTCTGCTTCTCATCCAACTCCCTGCCTGTGGTCTGGGAAAGCAGTCGAGGACAGCCCAAAGCCTTGGGACCATGCACCTGCTTAGGAGACCAGGAGGAAGCTCCTGGCTCCTGGCTTTGGATCAGCGCAGCACTGGCTGTTGTGCTCACTTGGGGAATGAATCATTGGACGGAAGATCTTCCTCTCTGTCTCTCCTGCTCTCTGCATATCTGCTTTTTCAATAAAAACAAATAAAAAATTTTTAATAAAGATTTACAGAGAGAAGGAGAGACAGAAATCTTGTATCTGCTGATTCACTTCCCAAAATGGAGCTGAGCTGATTTGAAACTGAAGCCAGGAGCCCAGAGCTTCTTCCCAGTCTCCCATGTGGGTGCAGGGTCCCAAGGCTTTAGGCCATCCTCGACTGCTTTCCCAGGCCACAGCAGGGAGTTCAAAAGGAAATACAGCAGCCAAGATATGAACCAACACCCACATGGGATCCTGGTGCAAGGCGAGGACTTTAACCACTAGGCTATCACCTCAGGCCCATGTCTGGACCTTCTGTGGGAGAGACTGAGCCAGTGTCCCACCGAGGAGAGAAGGAAAGCAAAGCCCAGGGTCAGCCAGGGTCAAGCCTGAGTGGTGCGCTCGCGTCTGGTCTCCTTCCTCCCTGGTTCTCTGCTTCTCTCTCCCGTAGCGATGTGTGCTTTGTGGTTGGCCAAGAGCGGCAGGAGATATTTGCCCACCGATGCCTGCTGGCCTGCAGATGCAACTTCTTCCAGCGACTCCTGGGAATGGACCCAGGGCCCAGGGTGCCTGGGCCGGTGGTGCTGAACACAGTGCCAGCAGATGCCTTTCTGGCAGTGCTGGAGTTCCTGTACACCAACAGTGTCCAACTGCAGCGCCACTCCGTGAGCCCGTGGTGCAGGAGCCCTGAGTGGGAGAGGCTGCAGGGGTGTGGGGTGAGGGGCGGGGAGGGGCCTATCGCATTCTGGGCCAAGGAGTGTGGGAAACTACCTTTTGCTTGCCCAACCCTGACACGGTTGCAGGTGCTGGAGGTGCTGACAGCAGCTGTGGAGTACGAGCTGGAGGAACTGCGGGAGGTAGGCTCTTGTGTCAGGCTCTGGTCTGGTTTCCCTGGGCCTGTCACCGGTTCAGTTCACACATACTCCAGCCTGGAGAGCAGTGTGTGCCCACCCAAACAGAGGAATGCCAAGTCTCCCCTGGCTATTTCCTGCCTCCTCCAGCTTGGGTGGGCCTGGGGCTGCTCTGGCCTTGGGTAACTGCTCCAAAGCCTGCTCGCTGCTTCTGGGATGGAACTGGGATTCTCCTGGCGGGGACACCTCTGCACGCTGCCCCCCTGCACGCTGTCCCCCCCTTGCCCTTTCCTTCCTGTTCCCAGCTATGCCTGGAGTTCGTGATGAAGGTGCTGGATGTGGAGCTGGTTTGTGAGGCTCTACAGGTGGGTGTTGTCAGACAGATCTGGCTCTCAGGTGCCAGGAGCCTGAGTGGCCCCGTGTGTGTGGCCTGGGAAAACCTGCATACACTTGGGGGTCTGGGGACAGGGACAGACACAGGGGAATTCTGAGGATGATTTGGGAATCAGTTCTGCCCACAAGATCTGTGAATACCTGTGAATACGCCGATCTGTGGACATCAGTGTGGTCAGGGACAGGAAGCGTCTGCTGGCCTGTTTTTAGGGCTGACGGATATTCTCAACTGGGATTTTAAAGATTTATTTATTTTTATTGGAAAGGTGAATATACAGAGAGGAGGAGAGAAAGAGAGGAAGGTCTTCATCCAATGGTTTACTCCCCAAGTGGCCACAATGGCTGGAGCTGAGCCAATCCGAAGCCAGGAGCCAGGAGCTTCCTCCGGGTCTCCCATGCAGGTGCAAGGACCTAAAACTTTGGGCTGTCCTCGACTGCTTTCTCAGGCCACAGGCAGGGAGCTGGATGGGAAGCGGGGCTGCCAGAACTAAAACCAGCGCCCATGTTGGATACCAGCGTGCTCAAGGCGAGGACCCTAACCGCTACGCTATCATGCTGGGCCCAAGGTGTGGAGTTTAGAAGCCAAGTTTAGCCCAGGGTGGGTTTGAAAGACCTAACATGATGTTCCTGTAGCACCTGCTTGCATTGTATATGCAAATGGACGTGGCCCTGGACACTGACTGGGTGTAGCTTGCTGGCATGCCATGGGACCTGTCAGTCTCTCCAGCTAAAGCTAGGGTCAGTTTTGCAGTGGTGGTTCTCAGGGTAGAGGGCTGGACTTGGTGGCCTCTCTTCTCTAGCCAGTCTTCCTTCACTCTGCTCCCAGGTGGCTGTAACCTTTGGCCTTGTGCCCCTGCAAGAGCATTGCATAGCCTTTATAGAGGCTCACAGTCAGGTACAATGTCCCCTGTAGTCCCATCTGCATGCACCCTACCCCCACCCCAGCCATGGTTTCACTCCTGCTGACTCGGGATGCCCTAGGAAGCCTTGAGGACTCGTGGCTTCCTGGAGCTGTCTGCGGCAGCGCTGCTGCCCCTGCTGCGCAGTGACAAGCTGGGCGTGGATGAGGCCGAGTTGATCCAGGCTGCCAGGAGCTGGGCGCGAGTGGGAGCGGTGAGTACGGGCCTGGGGGAGTTCCTGGGTATCAGGAACTTGGCACCAGGGTGTCGATGGGAAAGATGCTTCTGTGCCTGGGGCAGTGCTCAGGGTTCATTTGCAGGCGGTGCTGGAGCGGCCTGTGGTGGAGGTGGCAGCTCCCGTGGTACCAGAGCTGAGACTGGCCTTGTTGGCCCCAGCGGAGTTGAGCGCTTTAGAGGAGCAGAACCGGCGGGAGCCGCTCTTTCCGGTGTGGATATGAGGGAGTTTTGGGGGCAAACCTGGCCTAAAACTTTCAGCAGCGTGGGAACTAGGTGTGGGGCGGGGCGCATTCCGGTCCAAGGTCTTCTGGAGAAAAGATCTCCGCGGTGACCAGCTTTCCCTGGCAGGTGGAGCAGATCGTGGAGGCATGGAAATGCCACGCTCTGAGGAGAGGAGACACAGCCCCAGGCGCTCCGTGCCGCCGCCGGAGGGGCACCTTGCCTCGGGAGCATCACCGATTTCTGGATCTGCCCTTCAAGTGACTCACGGCTACGATTCTGACAACTCCTAGGTCTGCGCTGCTGGACCTGTCCCGATAGGCTTGGAACTCAGAGCGTCCGTCCCTAGCACGCCAGGCGCGCAGCACGCAGGCAGGGCAGTTGTCGGTCTGGGGCCACGCCTTAGGCTGGTGCAGCAGGGGACGGTCAGGGACAAGTTTGGGCTGCCCCTTCTTGCAGGGCGGGGGGGCCAGGCCCGAAGGAGAAACTTTCCTTTGTGCCACGCCCTCGCCCGCCACCCAGTGTTTGGGCTGGCTTGTGCACTGGTCTCCTCTGGTGACTCTCAGGTAGTTTGAGTCTGAAGTTCCCTCCTCTTTCCCTTTACCCCACAGACGCATGACGCTCAGGGTAAATGAGGCAGACTTACTTTTCCCGTCTGCCCCCGTCGTGCTTCTAGTTTCCGTGCGCGTCCACACCAGAAACCCGGGCCTCATCCTTGCGTCAGCTCTTTCTCACACCTCCCTTGGGTTACTTTGTATTACCAGCAACCTTCCAGTATGGTCCAGCACGCAGCCTCTCCCCTCTTTGTCCTCCTCATTCCTACCCCCACCTTGCAGCCACACCCTTGTAGTTTGACCTGCAGGTTCCTCAGTGTCCCCTTGACTCTCCAGGGCAAAATACAAGTCTATTTCACTTTCAGACACTCAACCCTAATCGTTGCATAAATTCTTTTCCCTCTGAGGATCTGTCGGGTTGTTGGTGATTGAAAACTGCTCTCAGTCATCTTGCTTTTCTGAGAATCTAGATCTCCTTGGGGAAAACCCCTGGGGCCTGATTTGGTGTTTTTTTTTTTTTCCCCCTAAATTCCTTGCCAAATTATCAGTGCTCTGTAAATGTCAAGTGGGGACTTTATTTGCTTACTTAAAAGTCCCTCAAAAGTCTTCAAGGAGTTGTCCAGACAGCATCCATCTAAAGTAAGGGATGACCCAGTGCAGTAACCAAGCAGCTAAAGTCCTCCCCTTGAACTCGCTGGGATCCCATATGGGCGCCAGGTGGCCCCTCTTGCCACCCAGCTCCCTGCTTGTGGTCTGGGAAAGCAGTCGAGGGCGTCCCAAAGCCTTGGGACCCTGCACCCACGAGGGAGACCCAGAAGAGGTTCCTGGCTCCTGGCTTCAGATCAGCGCAGTTCTGGCCATTGCGGTCGCTTCAGAAGTAAATCATCAGACAAAAGACCTTCCTCTCTGTCTCTCTTCCTCTCTGAATATATAACTTTCCAATAAAAACTTAAAAATAAAATAAAATGAGGGGCAACTTCCTATTTAGAAGAAAATAAATGACTCAATTGGCTAATCCTCTACCTCAAAGTGCTGGCATTCCATAAGGGTGCTGGTGTCTGTCTCAGCTGTTCCACTTCCCATCCAGCTCCCTGCTTGTGGCCTGGGAAAGCAGTCAAGGACGGCCCAAAGCCTTGGGACCCTGCACCCGTGTGGGAGACCCGAGAGAAGTTCTTGGATTCTGGCTTTGGATCGGCACAGTTCTGACCATTATAGCCGCTTGGGGAGTGAACAAGTAGATGGAAGATCTTTCTCTTTGTCTCTCCTCTCCACAAATCTCTTTCCAATAAAGCTAAATAAATCTTTTCTTAAAAAAATAAAAAGAATAAAATTATGTTAGATTTCTGACTCAGGATTTTATACAAAAATAAGTCACTCACAGATTAGAAATAGTAACTTGACATTCTTTCACAGGACCAAAAATGTAGTCACCTGTACCTCTCAAGGCTACATTGCTTGCATAGTGAAAATAGAATGCATACCCAGTAGTAAAGGACTGGATAAACTCATCATATGTTCCTATGAAATGGAAAAAGATCAGTTGGAGTCATGGTGTAATGGGTAAGATGCCATTGGTGATACAGGCATCCGTATCAAATTTCTGGTTCAAATCCTTGATGCTCTGCTTCCCATCCAGTTTCCTGATAATGTGCCTGGAATGGTGGTCCGAGCACTTGGGACCCTGCTACTCATGAAGGAGATCAAGATGGAATTTCTGGCTCCAGGCTTTGGCCTGGCCTGGTCCCAACCTCTCGGGGAATCAATCAATGGATGAAAGACCTGTATCTCAGTCTCTGCTCCCTCACTCTATCTTTCAAATAAAGAAGTCATATCCATAGTTATGATTTCCATGACTTTTAAAAAATAAATTTAATGGGCCCAGTACAGTAGCATAGTAGTTAAAGTCAATACAAATATAAGTGTTTAAAACATAATAATAAGGGCCCGGCACCATGACCTAACAGCTAAAGTCCTTGCCTTAAATGCGCCAGGATCCCATATGGATGCCAGTTCTAATCCTGGAGGCTCTGGTTCCCATTCAGCTCCCTGATTGGGGCCTGGGAAAGCAGTCGAAGATGGCCCAAGGCCTTGGGACCCTTGTGGGAGACCAGAAGAGGTTCCTGGTTCCTGGCTTCAGATTGGCTCAGCTCCAGCCATTGCAGCCACTTGGGGAGTGAACCATCAGATGGAAGATCTTCCTCTCTGTCTTTCCTCTCTGTATATCTGACTTTGCAATAAAAATAAATATTTAGGGCCCGGCGCGGTGGCGCAAGTGGTTAAAGGTCCTCCTCGCCTTGCACGCTCCGGTCCCATATGGGTGCCGGTTCTAATCCCGGCAGCCCCGCTTCCCTTCCAGCTCCCTGCCTGTGACCTGGGAAGGCAGTCGAGGACGGCCCAAAGCTTTGGGAACCTGCACCCGTGTGGGAGACCCAGAAGAGGCTCTGGCTTCGGATCAGCATAGTATCGGCCCGTTGCGCTCACTTGGGGAGTGAATCATCGGATGGAAGATCTTCCTCTCTGTCTCTCCTCTGTGTATATCCGCCTTTCCAATGAAAAAATAATAAAAATAAATCTTTTTAAAAAATAAATAAATGTTTAATAATAATAATAAATTTATTGTTATTTGAAAGGCAGATTTACAGTGGCTGCAACAGCAGTAGCTAAGAAAATCCAAAGCCAGGTGTTTGGAGCTTCTTCTGGACCTTCCATGTGGGTGCAGGTCCCAAGGTTTTGGGCCTTCCTCGACTGCTTTCCCAGGCCACAAGCAGGGAGCTGAATGGGAAGTGATGCAACCAGGACATGAATCGGCGCCCACATGGGGTCCCAGTGCTTGCAAGGGGATTTAGCCACTAAGCCATTGCACCAGGCCTAGGGCTGACACTTACAATCTTGATAGATTTTACCCTGGGCAGGTAGAAGGAAATGTAAGAAGGTCAGACTGGATCTTATCAAATGCTCAAATGCAAAGGGGCATGAAATGCAAGAAAAGGACCTTCCCCATCACTGTTCTGGTCTGGGAAAGCAGCAGGACATGGCTTAAGTGCCTGGGCCCCTGCCTCACACGCGGGAGATCCGAAAGAAGCTCCTAGCCTTGGCCTGGTCTAGCCCTGGTCATCGCAGCAGCTATGAAGTGAGCCGGCAGACAGAAGCTCTATCTCTCCTTCTGACTTTTAAATAAACAAATGTTTGGTTGGGTGGAGCAGAAGGGCCTCCAAAATGACCTTCTCAAGCAGACATTTCCCTCCAGAAATGTTTGGAATGTGCTGCCAGGGCCACCCTGACTTTGTAGGTCAACATCTACCATGATGAGTACCCTGCACTACACGGCACACACATGCGCAGAGCATGGAGCTTCTGCCTTCTCCCATCCCCTGTGCACAACATGTGTAAGAGCTCAATGCTGCATATCCTAGAGGGCCGTTTCCTCATGCAGTTTGTGGACGTGGATTCAGACCGTTTCCAGCCGGGGAGCTGTCTGTCAAGACTCCCCTAGCAAACTTTTTGCTTGAACCAAGAGCCGCCTCTCTGCCTGTAGTCTCAGTCTCTCTGTCTCTTTCTCAAGTCTTCGGATCAACTCATTTCTAGCCATTTTGACCATTTGGGGAATGAATCAACAGATGGAAGATTTCTGTCTTTCCTTGTCTCTGTAAATCTGACTTTCCAATAAAAATAAATAAATCGGGCCCGGTGTAGTACCCTAGCAGCTAAAGTCCTCACCTTGAAGGCGCTGGGATCCCATATGGGTACCAGTTCTAATCCCGACAGCCCTGCTTCTCATCCAACTCCCTGCTTGTGGCCTGGGAAAGCAGTTGAGAACAGCTCAAAGCCTTGGGACCCTGCAGAAGTGTGGGAGACCCAGAAGAGGCTATGGGCTCCTTGCTTTGGATCAGAGCAGTTCCAGCCGTTGCAGCAACTTGGGGAGTCAATCAATGGATGGAAGATTTTCCTGTCTGTCACGCCCCCTCTCTGTATATCTGACTTCCAATATAAATAAAGTAAATCTTTAATAAATAAATTGGTAAATAAATCTTACAAAAAAGCCTAGCTCCATCCTTTAGTAATTTTGTTTTAAAGATTTATTTATTTCAAAGGCAGACTTATAGAGAAGACAGTCAAATCTTCCATCCACTGGTTTACTCCCCAAATGGCTGGCACTGGTTAGAGATAAGCTGATCTTAAGCCAGGATCTAGGAGCTATATCTGGATCTCCTACACAGATGTAGGGACCCAAGGGCTCAGGCCATCCTTCCTTGCTTTTACTGGGCCACAGTCAAGAAGCTGGATTGGAAATCTAGCAGCTGGGACATGAACCAGTGACCATACCAGCGCCTGTAGGTGGAGGATTAGCCTGTTGAGCCATCCCACTAGCCTCTAGTGAAGCCACTTAAACTTTCTATGCCTTACTTCTCTTTAAAATTAATTTTTCATTATTATTTTTCTTATTTCCCTTGCTTATAAAATGGAAAGAACAGAACATGCTTAGTAGAAAGATGAAATTCAGCAGTTCTGTGAAGTACATACACGAGGCACAGGCATGGAGCCTCTCAGATTTCCTTCACCTATAGGCATCAGCATCCCACTGACATGCCAGTTTGTGTCCCAGCTGCTCCATTTCAGATCCCACTTCCGGCCTGTGGTCTGGGAATGCAGAGGGAGGGTCGCTCTTGGGCCCCAATACCTGCATGGGAAACCCAGAAGCGCCAGGATCCTAATCTCCAGTTCTCGGACCATTGTGGCCATTCGGAGAGTAAACCAGTGAACGGAAGAACTTGTCTCCTTTCTATAAATTGTGCATTTCAAATTAAAAAAATATTAAAGCTATATGGTAGGAGTGGAACTGATACTCTACAGGATCCCCTACAGATATCGGAAGAGTCTGTGTAAAGAGTGAAGCATGTAATTGTGCATATTTCAAAACAATAATGTATTTTGCTTAATGAAACCAACTGACATGTTAAATAGTTCTCTTCTCAATAGAATAACCCAAACACCTGCAGAACTGTGAGTGTACTAATGGGTGTGCAAAAAAAACCTTTCACCATGCAGTGTCCATAAAGGATCCTGATGCTTGCAAGAAGTCTTACAGCACAGTAGCCTCACCAAGTGCAAAGCCTCAGAAATTGTTTATAAAGACTCGCAATTGTTCCTCTCCACGGAAATCTTTAGTAAAAGGCGAAACATTTTTACGATCTGAAACCAGAGTATCGCTGAGGCCTGGTACAGCCACACCCCTAAACAGAGGTCATTCCTAATCCACTGACTGTGGCTAACCGCCTGACGGGGTGCACGCTCCCTGTGTGGCATTTATTTCTACAAACACTTCTAACAACGCAACGCCCGACAGCAATGGAGAGACACCTGGGGCGTGGAAATCTAGCTTCGTGGAGCTGTCATTCCGTGGCGCAGCACGGATGTGCAAAGCACAGCGAGGGAGGCGGGGTCGGGGACACCTGAGCCACTGCTCGGGTCCTCCTAGAAGGACCACGCCCCGCCCCTGCCTTCTGGGCAGAACTTGATCCAGCCGGATTTGCAGAGCTTGTAGTTTCATCTTGCTAGCCTTGGCAACGTGCAGGGGAGGGGGAGGGGAAGGGACCACCCTGGGTGGACCACCAATGTGGGCACTTACGCGACCCACCCTCCCAGCCCGAATAGGGGCAGTGCCCGAGGCCGACCACGCCCCTTGGCGGGCCCACAGGCCACAGCCTCCCCATCCCCCATTTCCGGATAGTTCCCGGAGCAACCAAAGCAGAAACTTTCAAGATCTGCACCATCTTGAAACACAAACGGAAAACGCCCTAGTGTTGCCAGGCTACTTCTTGCATAAATTATCTAACTTAAAATCCTGCACGAAAGGAAAAACCCTCCTAAATAGGCCCCAGTCTTTCCATTTCACACACGAAGACCAGTGAGATTAGCTAATTGGCCCAGTTTACTCAGCTATTGTGAAACCATGCACTGACATCATATGTACTATTCTAGCTTCTTTTTATTGCCAGAGACTTAGTTGATTTACTTGAAAGAGTTCAGAGAGAGAGGAAGGAAGACAGATCTTTCGTTCCCTGGTTGACTCCCCAGATGACTGAACTGAGCCAGGGGTGGGCCTGGTTGAAGCTGAAAGCCTGGCGCTTCTTCCAGGTCTCCCATGTGGGCTGTGCTCTCTGCTGCTTTCCCAGGCTCATTAGCAGGGAGCTATATTTGAAGTGGAACAGCCGGGACTCAAACTGGTAGCCATATGGGATGCTGGCATTGCAGACAGCAGCTTAATCTGTTACGCTGACCCTATTCTGGCTTCTGTTCCGCTAGGAAGCTCTACAGTGACCCAGACGCTACTGGACCCGAGTCCGGTCTCCGCCTCCTGCCTGGGCTAGGTTTGAAAACAACTGCCCCTTTCTTCTAAGGCTCTTCAGGCATTTAGTACTTGTTCTACTGTAGACATTCTTTTGTTTATTTTTGGCTTTTGGTCAGAATAGCATTGTGGGGCCTCGGTGGGGAGGGAGGGGGTTGTGAGAGGCAGTGTGGCAGGGGATGGCCAAGAGGAAACGCCTGGAACCCAGGGTGTGTGCAGTACCCCAGGGAGAGTAGGGGAAAGCCAATGAAAGGTCTCCAGCCTACCAGGTGGACTCTGCATCCCTTCCAGGTCAGGGGCAAGGTCAGACTGCTCAGGATGTTCTGCCTTCATAAATGGCTTAAACCCAGTGTCCCCACAGGCTGCTAAGACCCCTTTCCGGACAGCTCCTGCATGAGGTCCACTGACTGGCTGTCCAGATGTCTCCCAGTGTCATGGTCACAGCTGACCTGCCTTGCAGTTGGCTCTGGGTCCTGGCTGCTTTCCTTTCATCCACAAACTTCCTGAAATTTTTCCCCACCTAGAGAAATACCCAGCTACTGTCTGGATGTGCTTTCATTTCCCCTTCCACCCAGCATAGGGTTTTGCCCTTGTACCCCTGGCCCCTGATGAAGAGGGGACGTAGAGGGGTGGCGGCCAGAACTGCAGAGTGATGGCTGTGAACGGCACAGGGGGTGGATGCCAAAGTCGTTGCATCTGGTGTCCTGAGCACTTGGTCTAGACTTTGACTAGAGCTCAGCATCCGGCCTTTCCCACCTAGACCTAAGTTCTCTCATCCCCAAGTACCTGAAGTGTCTACTCTCCACCTGCGAGCTCCTAACTCTGCAAGGATGTGAGGCTCCAAGTCATCGGAGACGAGTTCACATAGAATATATTTCACTCTTTAAAAATATAACTTTCAGCAGAGCCAACATCTATAGACATTACAAAAATAAAGATCTTTATAAATAACTTACGCGGAAGGACATGGGCAGGGATGGAGAGAGCCTATCTGAGGTGGGGTGGGGTGAGGTCACCAAACAGCAAAGGGCCATGACTGACCAAGGGCACTCAAGGGCCCCTCGGGCTTGCCCTGCTAGGAGGGACCCAGAACTGCACTGCAGTCTGATGTCTGGCTTCCACCCCTCCAACTCCTGCCAACAGACATGGACCCGTGGGCAGCTGCCAGCCGCGGCAGGGGTGGATACCGCGTCACAGTGCACAGGGCAGGGGTGTGGTGGCCGGGCCAGGGGATGAGGCAGACAGCAGCAGCAGGGGGTTGTCCTGTATTCGGTCTCCCATCCGGTGCTTCCCAGTGTCTTCCCGTGGCCTTAGCAGGCTCTCCCTACTCAAGCTGCTCCCTCATTCAGTGGGTGGATACAGTCCCGTAGAGTGGAAGCTGCCAGACCCGCTGGCGGCTGGGGCGGTAGCAGGGGACCAGGCGGGCTCGTCAGAGGTTGACTGGACATAGGCACCAGGCAGCGGAGGTGGGTGGAGCGCCACTGTCAAGGAGGTAGTCACTCTGGTGAAGCTCTGGGGCAGGGTGGGCGACATCCCCCACCTGAGTCCGCCTCCCCGTGCAGCCGTGGGGTTCAGGATCTCTGGACTTTCCTTGTATGTCTGGACCACCTAAGGGGAGACACAAGACCCAGTGAGCCCTTCACCCGGCCACTGCCATGACTGCTGGAAAGCTGGGGTCAATTCTGGATCTGGGAACTGATAATGGGAGGTTGAGGCCTGTGGCCAACATTGCATCTGGCTCTGGATCCTAAAAAGGCTAAGGTGGGTCCGTTGAAGAAGCCAGGGGGCTGAGGGGCAGGAGCTTGGGGCCTGGGAGTGGGAAGGAGGTGGCCAGAGGGCCCGACTCTAGGCCATTGAGGGCATTTGGTCCTGGCCTTGTCCTTGGCGATTGAGGGGATGCTCACCTCTGGGGGTGGGCCCAGGATGGATAGCAGGACAGGCAGCAGCACCAGTCCGTGCAGGAGGCCCAGGAGCGTGAGCACCGTCAGCACCACGAAGAAGTACCTGGGCGGGAAGCGGGGTAGTCAGCTGGGGCAGAAGCTGGGGTGGCTGGGGACGGGGCTCCATGTATGTTCCTGTGGCCTCCCCTACCTGACAATGAAGTCAAAGTTGGAACCAGCGAGCATGAGGAGACCCAGCAGTGTGGAGACGGCCCCGTCGGTGACAGGGGCGAACATGTGCTCCAAGGCCTGGGCAGCGCGCAGGTTCCGGCTTCCCTGGGCGGTCAGAAAGCCCTGGGGGGACAGAGTGGTCATGGGGACACCTCCCCTACTGGTCCTGCCCCAGCTACTGCTACTCATCAGTTTAACAGGGGAGGCTCACACGAGGTGAACAGGTGCAGGGGACACGTGTGGGTCCATTTAGGCACTTCAGTGTACACCCTGGACATTAGGTACACAGAGGTACACACTGTGCTTAAATATGAGCTGAGACCCCTGTTTTTGTAAGCATGGGCTCACGGACATGCGTGAACATGGGTCTTTGGGTGATGTGAGCCGCACAGGGGACAGTGGGCTACTAGCCTGCAACGCTTGTCACCAGATATGAAGGAGCAGTACAGCCCGGTTCTAGTGCCTTGGCCATGGTCACGGCTCTCCTGTGAGCCCATGGTGGCACCTGCTGCCAGGGCATCCTTGCTGGCTCCTATATTCTCACCTTCCATTCAACTATCCTTGACCCCTCCCAGAGAGCCTCTCCTCCCTACTGCAGAGGCTGCTTCTTTACCTATTGGTTTGTCTGTTGCCCGTCTCTACCCTCTAGAATACGAGCCTGTCCCAGGACTACCATCACAGCACAAATTCACACAGCAATGCTTCTTGGATTCAGAGTTACCCAATCTGTCCCTCCCACAGTGTCTGTGCTCACCAGAGCCACGTGAACTGTGAACTCTACGCCGATTCCGACAGAAGCCACAAGGATCACCACGGGGATGGCGCTCAGCTTGATGCCCAGGAAACCCATGATCCCAAAGAGTTCCACAGTCATCATTGCCAGGACCAGTACCTGGGGACAGCAGAGTTCACCCAGGGCTCCCAGCATGGGAAGATGGGCTGGGCGAGGCAGGGGGTACCACTGGGGTTGGGGCCTCCCTCTACCGGCTCCCCTGCAGGTGCTTACAATAAGGCCAGCTGTCCAGGGGCTGAGTAAGAGCAGGGCACAGACGAGGAAGCTGCACACCAGCAGGATGCCCACGGCCAGCAGGAAGCAGCGTCGCAGGCCCAGGTACTGCTCCCAGAAGAGGAAGGGGGAGCCGCTGGGGTAGGCGTGCACCCCCGCCCGGCCTGCCTCTGCGCACGCTGCCCGGGCCCCCTCAATGGCCTCCACGAAGTCTGCGGTCTGTCGGAGGCCACGCAGCAGGAAAGGGAACTGGGCGAACTCCAGGGGCTGGGCTGCAGGGACTATGGAGGCGAGAGCAGGGATGGGGCAGAGTGAGCAGGGCTGGGGGTCAGCCAGGGCCTGGGCGGCTGAAGCCAAAGCTCTCTGCTGAGCTACCCACCCCACGTCCCACCCTGAGCACTCACTGCGAAGGTTCTCCCCCGTAGTGTCATATTTGTCGTGTAGCCACTCGGGAGGCGGCGGGTAGAAGTTGGCCTGTGAGGCTGCCAACCCCAGCGGGTCACTGCTCACCCACACAGTTAGTCCCACATAGAAGAGTTCAGGCGGGATAAGGCCCTCCTTATCCACCAGCTTCCTTGTAGTCAGCTGTGGAGGCAGACGGGGATGAAGGCCTGGGCCTATGGGGCTTGGGAGACCGCCCTCCCCTCCCGCCAGCACGCGCTGCCCATGTCCAGCTGGCTCTTAACCTGGCTGAAATCCAGAGGCTCCTGGGCGTCCCCAGTCTGGATGAGCAGCTTGTAGGCCAGGGCCCCGTCCTCAGACCCATTGCGGTAGGAGTGGCGAGTTATGCGCCCAGCAGCCCAGTCCTGGTCAAAGGCAACCTGGATTCCTGGGGAAGCACAAATCAGGGCACAGTGAGCCCCTGGATGGGGGGGGCAGGGGACTTCTCCCCTCTCCCAATCCTGGCGGGGGTGTCTCCTTGCCTCTCACCCTGTAGCCAGTTGCGGTAATAGTGCAGCCAGGTGCGGGGCGCCTGGGTGGCAGGTGGAGGCAACACGGCCTTGAGGGCACTGAAGCGCTGGTGCAGATCAAAGAGGGCGCGTTGGGAGTGGGCGTAGTCAAAGCCGCCCTGGGTCACCAGGGCCACCTCATACAGGGAGAAGTACCTGAGCTGGGCGCTCAGGAATGCATGCTCCTTGGTGCCCCGAGGCACCACATCTGTCAGGGCCAGCCCGTCCTGCACCAAGGTGGCTCCGTAGAGGCTCAGGCCCAGAAGGGCCCCAAAGAGCACCAGCACAGCAGCCTGGGGGAGAAGGGCAGCTAAGCTGAGAGGCCCAGCTCCTGGGTGGAGAGCTGAGCCCTTTCCCTCCAGGGGGTTCTGCCCCACCTGGCCTTACCTTAACACGTGGCTGCAGCAGAATGGGTGCAAACTGATAGCGGGCAAAATGGGCAAGGCTCCAGCGAGTGCAGGGCAGGCTCTTGTAGGCGGGCTTCTGCCTGGCACCCTCATCCTGGCCCAGAAGGTCCCGAGTGGATCCCCCAGGGCCAAAGAGCTCAGAGCCCAGAGGGTCAGAAGGCGGCGGGGTTACCACATGGGCTTGGGGAGGTAGAATGGCGACCACATGCTGGCTGCTGCCTTCACAGTGTGTGAAGGCTTGGACCGTGGTGGTCAGGTGGGCCACACCCACAGGCACGGTCCCATCTCCCAGCTCCTGGGGCAGAATCTGAATCACTCGAGCAGAGCAGGGGCTGGAAGAGGTAAGGAGAATGGACGTCACCTCCACATCCTGGGCACTGGCGGAGGGTATGGACTGGGGGTGGGGTTAGGAGACATGTGGGAAGGAGTCAAGGGGTGGGGTTGGGGTTGGGGACATGGGGAGGAGTCAGGAGAGGCGGGGGTGTCAGGGGGTGATACCTAGAGAAGCAGCAGAGCACATCCAGGCGCTGGCAGTGGCGCCTGCGCAGGTCCAGGCTGAGGATGGCTGGGAAGACAAGCATCACGGCAGCAAAGTTGCAGCCAACCACTATGGCTGCCTGGGGGGAGGAGAGGGAGGGCACAACGGCTGGATGAAGCATGCCCCTCCCTACCCTCCTTACTCGATGCCCACCCTCAGCCTGCCCACGCAGGAGGCCTCACCTGCAGGGAGAAGGCCCGCAGCGCGGGGATGGGAACCAGGGCAGCCATGAAGAAGGCGACCATGTTGTTGATGGATGTGAGGGCGACACTGGTGCCCGTGCGCTGCAGACACTCGCCTGTGCGTGCCTGCCAGGACAGGGCAGGGACACGGGCTCAGGCCTCAGGGGAGGGGTATCACGGGGGCAAGAACATAGCAGCTGGCATGTGCTGAGCAGCCCCCACACGTCATGCATGGATCTCAACAGCCATGTGAACGATCGCTCCCCAGTCCTCACCACACCCCATGGGGTGCAGGCACTGTTGCTTTTACAAGAAACAAGGAGGTGAACTGGCAGTCCACCATGCTTGATTGTCACAGACCAGGTTGGCCCGGGAGAGCCTCACCTGGAGAGGAGTGCCAGGGGGAGCCTTTGCGAAAGCGTGCGCCAGCAGGAATATGTCATCCACGCCAATGCCCAGCGCCAAGAAGGGAAGGACCTGGAGTGGGGAAGGGTGGGCAGCTGGAGGGGCTGTGCAGGCTGACCAGGGCCCTCCCAACGCTGCTCTACAGTCCTTGCGTACCTGGGTAGTGGCAGCATTGAAGGCGATACCCAGCAGGGCGCAGAGCCCGAGGCCTGAGGCTACAGCCAGGGCCACCATCAGCACCCCGGCAAGGCCCACAGCGCCCTGGGACTGGGCACAGTCCCACCGCAGCATCGTCACGCAAGCATAGGCCAGCTGTGGGTGAGAGTAGACACGCTGTTGGACAAGGGTTCCCAGAGGCGGGAGTCGGGGTGCGGGGTGTGAGGCTGGACTGTTAGGGAGGGGAGGAGCTAGGAGTGGGCTGCCGCACCATGAGCAGGTAGCCTCCCAGCACGCGCGCTGCGCTGACTTCCGAGAACGCTTGTAGGATGTCATCCAGGGTGGTGGAGGAGAAGGCATGGACCTGCTGCGAGGCGTTTCTGGGCAGGGCCTCCTGGGCCAGCTGGAGAGGTAGGGTGTGTGTGAGGGCACGGCCTCAGGGCACCCTCCTCTCCTTCCTTCCCCTCGTTTGTCCCTGCAGACCTGCACGAAGCGTCGTTGCCAGGCCTGAAGCACGGTGCCAGCTTGCTCCTCGCTCCAGCCGATGTCATGTGTCTGGTAGTCGCCCCGGAAGTGTTCATACAACTGCCGAGGGCTCATGAGCAGGAAGGTGCTTTGCAGGGCCTCTGCCCTGGGGTGGGAGGAGAGCAGGAGAATGAGAGGGTGAGAGCTGGCCTGGACATCCAGGAGAGGACATGCAGGGACACAGGAGTGTGTGTGTGTGTGTGTACGCACACACACTGTTGCCAGAGTGGTCTGGCACCAGAATATGGGTTCACAGGCACAGGGTTCCCAGACCCCCCTTCCCAGGGGAGGCCCTACCTCAGCAGCTGTCCTTGGGCATCTCTGGCCGTGCCTCCCAACAGCAACTCCTCCTGCCAGTGCATGAATTTGTGGGAGAAGCCGTGGCAGCCCCCACTCAGCTGCTGAGCCACGTTGGGAGCCTGCAGAGGGGTAGGGGAAGCCCTGGCTGTGAGTGACTGGGTGTCCTGGGCTGCCTGCTCCCCTGGGAGTTTGGGAGACGGGAAGGCAGCCTCTTGTCTCCTCTGAGCATCCAGTGTCCTGTAGACAGCAGGCCACCAGAGGGCGCCCAGGACTAGAGCTAGGCTGCTGGGAGGAGCCAGGGCCAATTCTGGTGGATTTGGGGACAAATACAATCTCACAGGGCTACACAGAAATTTGGCAGGTATGGTAGATGCTCTCGCTTGGCTATTTTGTGCTTACTTTCCTGAACCAAGTGTATTTTGGCAAAGTTCAGTTCTGAGTTTAGTTCTGGGTTTAGCAAAGGCAAATGGGATTGATGACAACACAGAGGATTTCTTCGACCTGAATGTAAGGAGAACATGCTCTATCTAGCAGGATGCAGGGTGCAGATCAGCAACATCCCGGAAGTGGGGGTGGCAGAGGACACAGCACTACCAGTGCTCAAAGAACAGGACACTTTATGAGGAGGGGTGAGGGACGGAAAATGCGGTTTCTGTGGTGACCCGATGGGGACCCACCTCTCTGCTGTGATGGTTGGGAGCACTGGGTGGGCAGTGAGCGTCATCAGGGTGCAGACAGGGCCGGCCCACATAGGCCTGGCCCACCTGGGCCTTGTCCAGCAGCTCCCGGAAGCCCTCCAAGGAGGTGAAGGGGCCCAGCTCCTCCAGCAGCTGCTCAGGGTCCAAGTTGGTCCACTGGATGTCAGGGCGGCCTCTGGGGGCAGAGAACCCAGGGTTGGGGAGGGCCGGGGGTCAATACCCACTGCCCCAAGGACAGCTACGTGGCCTCGGCCAAACCCCACCTTGCCCTAAGCTGTCCTTCTTGGCACTGCTAGGTGACACCAGCCCACCAGGCTGCTGTAGTGTGCTGTGGAGCGGGTGTAGTGCCCAAGGCAGCTATCAATACAGACACACAGGGACACAGGCCCAGGAAGCCCACAGAGTTTCCAGGTTCTGACTCTGGCCAGGGAGGTCAACAGAATGGTAGCAGGGCGACCATCACCCTCTCTCCCACACCCCTTCCTGCTGGCCCAGGCCAGCTGTGGGCACTGCCCAGCCATGCAGTACTCACGGTAAGTAGGCAGAGCCACCCTGGAGCTTGGCTCCCTCCCAGAAGCAGTCAAGCGGGGTGAGGATCACGCATGGAAACAGCTTCTCGATCATCTGCCGGAGACATCCAGGCCCTGTCAGTCTTGGTGCTGGGCTCCTTTCCCCACAAGCTTCCAGGGGGGAGCCCTTTGTGATCCCCTGTGACCTTCAACCGCCCCTGCAGCCTGGGAGGAGGAGGCTCACCCGCTCAATCATGCCATTTTCAATCAGAGGAACTCCTGATTTGTAGCAGATCTTGTTGAGATCCCAGGACCTGCAGTGCAGCCAGGGCATGGGGAGATCAGCAGACGGGCATGGCCACGGTGCGCCTTGCCACCGCCCGCCACTCAGCCACACTCACTTTCCGTAGAGTGATACTTGCACTTTGCTGGCGGTGAGGGCTGCCTGGAGGTGGAGGCTGAGGGCCTCTGGCGTGAGAACGTTCTCCCCCTCCTGGCGTGCAGTCTGTATCAGCATCTGGGAGGTGTAAGCAGCCTCCTCTCCCAGCTTCTCCTTGGTGTAGCGCAGCTCCTGGCTTACCCGGCTGCCTACTGCCAGAGCAAAGAGAGAGAGAGAGCTGCGGGGAGAGGGCCCAGAGGGTTGGTGCTTTGGGGGACAGTGACCGTAACCCCTGAGGTACCGACAGGCTCATGGGAGCAGGCTGCAGAAGAAGCCCCTGCCATGGCCCAGGCTGACTGCCCAAGCTCTGGCCCTACTTCCAGCACCTGCAGCTTGGCCAGGAACATGGAAAAGCCTCAGCTGTATTATGGGTTCCATTTTGGGTTAACTATTTATTTGAGAGGGAGGAAGGAAGGAAAGAGAGAGAGAGAGAACATTCCATTTGCTGGTTGATTCCCCAATACTCCTGTTAGCTGGGGACTGGGCCAGGCTGAAGCTGGGAGTTGGGATCCATGTGGGTGGCAGGAGTCCCATCCGTAGATTCCCCCACTGTAGCTTCCCAGGGGCCACATTAGCAGGAAGCTGGAGTCGGGAGCTGGAGTTAGGCGTGGAACTCAGGCATTCCAAACAGGAGGCACCACTTGGCCAACTGCCTGCCGCTGTATGAGTGGTCTTGGGTTTAATCCTGAATCAGGTTGGCTGCAGGTGGGGTAAACCTTTGAAGTTGAGAATGAGCATGAACAAGCCTGGGCTGGAACTCCGTGGCACGGTGCCAGCAGCACTCACTCAGACCCTCTGCTCTGGTGGGGAGAGGAGGCAGCACCGGAGTGCTGCGGTGGCAGAGGTGGGTGAGGATCAGCCTAGCTCCAGCATGGTGTTCCCACACGGGACAGTCAGCTCCTGGACACTGGCAGAGGTGCCAGTGAGCAGGCCCAGGGCTAGATGCCCGCAATACCCTCAGCATCCAGCCCCTGGAAGGTCCCAGTGCCAGGCATGCCTTGGTCACAGTGTCCCCCAAGTCCTGCATGATGTCTGCCAGGAGGTCACGTTCCAACAGGAGCCTGGGCAAGGTGGCACATTACAAGCAGATACGACCAAGTGGGTTTATGGAAGGTGGGGGCTAGAGCCAAAGCCACCCCGGAGGCTTAGTGAACTTGCCCTGGGATCAGATCCAGTTCTGCTTCCCCCTGTCTGAGGACCCACATACAGTGCCTCTGTGCGACTCCAGCCCTGTCTGGGACCACCGTGCTCTTCAACACCCTTTTCAAATCCACATCATCTTCCTAAGCATGAGAGCCCCGAACCCCGGCTACACCGACACGGTTCCCCCTACACTCCCCTCCGCCAAGCCACAGTCCTGGTCCTCACTCATGAGCACAGCTGGTTGCTTCCCCTCCCTGTCAAATCCCACCTTCGGGGACACGGCCCTACTGCCCAACCCCTTTCCAGACTGTCCCGTGGAGGGAGAGGAGCAGCTCCCCGATGGTCAAGGGGTGTGCAGAGCGACAAGAGAGAGAAATTCAGAGAGCCAGAGGAAGAAACACAGATGGGAATGACAACATCAAGCAGCACAGCCAATCGTCGGGGAAAAAAAAGTCGGGGAGGGAGAAATGATGACGGATACAGTACTGACGGGATGCAGTGCGCAGACAGGCGGGGCGGGGGGGAGGGGGGACGAGGGGACAAGGCTCCATCCAAACTCAACTTTAGGCCTTGGCTCTGACACTTAGGCTTAGGCAAATCACTTCTTTTCTCAGGCCTCAATTTCCTCATCAACCAGGAACAGGCCAAGTGCTCAGGGGACTGCCTGGCACGTGGCAAGTTCAGATGTGGAGGTGACATGCAGTGGTTGCTGGGAGGGGAACGTTGTGGCAGAAAGAAGAGGAAGAACGGCAGGAAAAAGGCACTTGGAGGAGAGGGGGAGGGAACAGGAAACGGGGAGGCTGAAAGTAAAAACCGAGACATTCGTGAAGACTTTTAAGCCTTTCTGAAAGAGGGAATCTAGCTGGCTATCTGACAGGAAAGAAGTCCATCCCCTAAGTAATTCTATACACGCAATTTACAATAAAGATACGTTATCATCAGCCACATTAGCCAGACATTAAACATTGTGAGCACCCACTGCTGGGCCGCAGGAGCACGGGCTAGTCTGCTGTGGGAGTGCAACTTGGTGCTCTGTTCGGGGTCAAGCAATATCACCGTATGTGTGCTCACACATCTCTGGTCCTGACATTTCCATGTAAGGATCTAGGAGCTTTTGTAGGGATTCACGGTAGGTTATGAGCAGAAGGGCGAGACGACCTGACATTTTCATCACCTAACAAGTTATTCCGGTGCGTTATGACTCATGAGCAAGGGTCTGTGAGGGGAAGAGATGTGGAGCTGTTCTGTGCAGGGAATTGTTGAAGGCTTGGCATCTCGGGGCTGCCGAGAGTGAGCCGTGGAGGACCGGAGACAATGCTGGAGAAGAGTCGAATGTACAGGGCCCAGAAGACATGCTATGGTGCTCACGGCTGGTCCTGGAGAGTTACACAATCTGGTAGGAATTGCTGGAAGTAGGTTAGGGGACTGATGTGGCCAGAGCTGAGCCAAACCACAAGGCGGCGCTGTGGGGGCAGGCTGGAAGGTGCTGTTGACAAGGCGGTCACCTCCTCTCCTTCCTTCTGTCAGGACTTGGTACTGCTGGCCATTTTCTTAAAGGCCTAGTGATTCAGGACAGTTGGGCCCCTCCCCAGCATCACAGGGTGAAACCTGATTAGTCTAAGCCATTCAAGGTAATTTCACTGCCCTTGCCAAGTGAAGGCTTAAGCAGAGGATGCCACATGATTTTGCCAGAGATCAAGTGGGAAGCAGGCCACAAGGCTTCTGGTAGAGTTTTCCTTACTTTCTAAAATGGTTGTAGGGGCCATCGCAGAAGTATAGGAGCTTAGGCCTCCACCTGCACCGCTGAAATCCCATATGTCCTGGCTACTCCACTTCTGGTCCAGCTCGCTGCTTATGGCCTGCGGAAGCAGTGGGTGGGGGAAGGAGCGTGGCTGTGATAGCTCAAGTCCTTGGGTCCCTGCACCCATGAGGGAGACCCAGACAAAGCTCCTGGCTCCACCTTTGGACAGGCCCAGCTCTGGCCACTGAGGCCATTTGGGGAGTGACCCAGGGAATGGAAGATCTTTCTATCTCTCCTTCTCTCTCTGTAACTCTTTCCAGTAAAAGTAACTAATTCTTTAAAAAAAAAAAAAATGGTTGTAAGACAGAGATGGCTTCTTTTCTCTGCCACTACAGTAGCCGCCGTGGGGAAAGTCTGAGGACAGAAGTTCAACTTGCAGAGGAGTGAAGCCCAGTGTTTGTGTCCTTGAGCTGCTCAACTAAACATCCTTGCAACTTCTCCACCGCCAAACTTCTTGTATCAGAGGATAATAAATTAGCCTTCTTCCTTTCTTCCTTCCCTCCTCCTCCTCCTTTCTTTCCAGGTGCTAAAAGCATCCACACGTTGCAGTTGGGAATGCATGGAGGTTGGAAAAGGCCTCCCCTGGAGCAGTGGACAGACAGGAAGTGGGGTGTCTGTTGTGAGACAGCAAGAAGAGTCTGGTGGCCTTCTAGGTGCCAGGGAGCCCAGACTGACTCCCAAGGTTCTAGCGCTGGGCGTTTGAGTGGAGGAGGTTCTACCCAGGGTTGCGTGGTCATCTCTTGCCTTCTAAGCAGAATTGCTGGATGTCCCTATCTGCCAATTTCCTACTGTCTCTATCCCTGTTTCAGAAGTACAGGCTGGACTGTGTGTTGTGTGTATTTTACAGGGAGGTGTTTGGCGTTTGGGAAGGCAGGAAGGACAGGCCCAGAGCAAGTCTTATCACAGCAGACGGAGAGCTCTGAGCTCTGACGGCCTGCTCCCTCCACTGCTGGTGTTCTCAGCCGAGGGCCAGAGCACCAGAGACTGGCCTCCAGCAGCCCTCACCTCATTGCTGTGGGCATCATGGGGGAAAGCTGCAAGTGCAAAGAGGGCTCCACCATAGGTCTGCAGAGACTGGGTCAAGGTCACGGCTTTCACCTCCCCCTATGCTGACACGGGGCCGACGACAAGGGGCTGGCGCCCACCCTCTTAACAACACCTTCACCAAGCAGCAGCCAAAAACCAGGGGGGTCTGGCCTCTCCTGGAGCACAGCAGGGAGGATGAGGAAACACCGGGGTTCAGGAGGGAGGAGAGGTGGGGAATGCAGACTTGCCTCTGTTGTGGCAGGAAATCCAGGAGTCATTTGGGACCACCCAGGCAGCAGTGGTGTGGGTGGGGATATGTGTATGTGCAAGTACGCACATGTGTGTTCTGAGGATGGGGGCAGGCAGGCGGGGAAACATCTGCTTGGAACCCCAGGGCCGGCCCAGAGTGTGAACGTGTGAGTCTACAGAGGGCTGGGGGCAGGGGTGGAGATGGGATGTGGGGGCCCAGGAGGCAAGCAGGCTCCAAGAAACATCTGCTCTGGGTCCTCACACTTGCCAGGATCGGAAATCACTCCAAGGTGTGAGACTGCAACCTGGGCCCTGCCTTTGGGTACGGACCAGGGTTGGGGGAGGTCTAGGGCAGTCCACAATGTAAATTTCCCAGGGAAGAACTCTGGCAGAGAATTGTGCTGGAATGGATAAGAAAGATTTTCTATCTAAAGCCTGCACTAGGAAAAGAGCGTGTGACCCTAACACTGGTCAGAGCCTCGCATTGTAGGCTCTGGGCTGCTCCTCCACTGACTGGCTTACAAGTGCCTGAGTTGATGAGTCCGGGGCCTGCAGGCCAGCCCAGAGGATTTTCTCACTTTCCCCAGCTTTCCTGGCCCAGCATTTCTGATTCCCAGTGTCTGGTGTGATCTCCCTTCTCTCACCCATAACCACATCCTCCTTTGCCCTGCACGACAGCTCTCTCATTTCTAGTACCTATTTTCCTTGCAACTGAAAGACGGGTCTTACTTTTCATGCCTTCGCGGACCCGACGTACTACGGCCAATACGGTAGAACAAGTCTCCACCATCTGCCACGCCTGCCGATGGGCATGGGTCGGGACCAGCAATGCTCGCAGGTGCTGGCTGCCCACGACCCTTCCCTTCCTCCCGCGCGGCTGCTTCCACAGACCCAGCGGCAGAGCTACTCAGGCTCTGTATCCAGCCCAGCAGTGTCCACACTCACCTTCCACCCAGAGCTGCTCCAGGTCTGTCTCGATGACCGCCACGCGAAGACCCAGCGCCAGGGCCCCAAAGGCCAGCAGGCCCAGGAAGAGCACTTTGCCACAGTGTCTCTGGATCCCGCAGCCCAGGGAGAAGAGCAGGCCTTGGAAGTAAGCACGCAGCCAGAGAGGCGCCTTCAGGCTCCCGGTGAACACCTGGGGAAGAGAGAGCCACGGGAGCAACGCTGGCAGCCCCCGGCTTCTCTCCCTGTGTGCCTGCTGCCAAGCAGCGGCTTCCTGACGCACCTACACAAGACACAAGCCCGAACTTGGACCTTCCTCCCTCGCACACCAGCATACATCAGAGGAAGGCAGGAGCCTTCCTGAAAGCCTTTCTTTTCTGAAAGCAGCCCGGCCACACATACACATCCAGAGCCCTATTGCGAGGGGGCAAGATGACCCTATAGATACACTCCTTCTCACTGGCCAGAGCTCAAGGAGATACACACGTGTGCGCACGCACACAGGACTCGGGCGGCAGTGCTAGCTCTCACCTGTCTGCCAGCTGACACAAACCGCCATGCACACGCGGCACGTAGAGCCAGCCATCACTCCCTGCAGAGGCCCCAGCGACACACCCGGCCCCACTCTCCCCCCTTCCAGCTAGCTTCCGTTCTACTCACCTGGGGTGCTGTGGACCGAGCTGGGGGCGCGTAACCAGGGGGCGGCGGTCGAGCCATGCCAGGAGAGGGGGCGCGGGAGAGGGGGCGCCCCCGACCCGCGTTATCTCAGTGCTCCCATACGCCGGCCCCGCGTGGGGTCTGAAATGGGATGGAAGGGCGCGCGCTGGGGTGCTGGCTGTGGCGTGCGCCCGTGCGGCGGCGGCGACACGGAGGAGCGCCCGGTGCTGCAGCGCCTTCTTGCTCGGTTCCACGCGCTGAGGACACAACTGCCACACTGCGTCGCTCCGCGTAGATCTGTGGAGTTCGAGGTCCCGGCAGCAGTGCCAGGGAGGCGGCGGGAACCCCCAAGAAAAAGGGAGCAGGCCGGGGCGACGCCCTCCCATTGGCTGAGGGGCCCGCAAATTACCCGGAGCCGCGGGGCCGGAGCCGCTGCTAGGTAACAGCGCCGCAGGGGGCGGGGCGCGAGACCACCCAGGCTGGGCCACCCCCAGCTCGCCTCGCCGCCCGCGGGGCCCTCCAGCAGGAGAAGGGGCGGGGCGGGGCGAGCCCGGGGACGCTTGGCGCTGGCCCAGTGTAAGGCAGGCCCACGCTGAGAAAGCGCGTCTGGTGGCCCCAGTGGGGCCACGCTTCCTTCCAGACCCAACCAAAACTCACAGCTTTAACTTTTCCACTTTTCTTTGCTTTCATTCCTGCTTTGAGTCCACCGAGGCCAAGGTTATTTCTGTGTAATGCATATCTTCTGATAGTTGCAGAACGCAAGGTCTTGGAGCACAGGCACCACGGCCTCCCACCTAAAGCCTTCTCCCCCAGATGAAGCTCCCAGCGCTCCTTCCAGCCCTGCAGAGCCATGTGCAATTGCCTAAACACGTAATGCGCTGTGCTTTCCTGCCCTCATAAAAGTTGTGCCCCTTTTGTTTTGGAAACGGCCTTCAAAGCTTCATGTGGGAGCAGGCATCATGGTGTGAGCTAAGCCTCCAACTGAGGTGCCGACATGCCATATAGGCACCGGTTTGTGTTCTGGCCACTTCACTTCCAATCAAGCTCCCTAATTACAGCTTGGGAAAGCAGCTGAGGATGGTTCAAGCCCTGGGTCCCTGCACCCATGTGGGAGACCTGGAAGAAGCTCCTGGCTTCTGGCTTCAGATGGGCTCAGCGCTGGCCATTGCTGCCATCTGAGGAGTGAACCAGTGAATAGAACATCTCTCTTTGATTTCTGCAGCTTTACTGTTTAAATAAAAATAAATATTTCTGGTGCAAAGACTAGTAGCTAAATCCTCACCTGGCACTCACCAGGATCCCATATGGGTGCTGGTTCATGTCCTGGTGCTCCACTTTCCTTTCAGCTCTCTGCTTGTGACCTGGAAAGCAATAGAGGATGGCCAAAGGAATCCTGCACCCACCTGGGAGACCCAAAAGAAGCTCTTGGCTCCTGGCTTTGGATTGGCTCAGTTCCGGCCGTCGTGGCCACTTGGGACTGAGCCATCAGATGGAAGATCTTCCTCTCCCTCTCTGTAAATTTTTCTAATAAACATTTTTCAAAAGTCTTTAAAAAAGCTGTATATGAACGAACCACTCTCTGAAGGGTATCACATACCATGCTACATGTGATTTAATGAAAATTTTATTTGAAGGGCAGAGAGGCAGAGCGGGGAGAGGCAAAGAGAAAGACATGTTGCGTATGTTTGCTCACTCCCCAAACGACTGTGACAATCATGGGGTAGGCCAAAGCCAGCAACCAGGAAGGAACTCCCACACGGGTGGCAGGGGACCAAGTCCTTGGGCCACCTGGTGCTGCCTTCCCAGGAACACAAGCAGAGAGCTAGACGGCAAGTTGAGCAGCTAGGATTTGAACTTGCTATCCAATATGGGGTGTGGCTAAGCCACAACACTGGCCCCTGCCAGGCCCTGACTGCTTTGAGTGGCAGGGAAGGGTACAATCAAGATTTCAGTATGTAAAGTTGGGGAAATAAAAATGATCTCCAACAGACTCGTTATTTGTTGAACACAACTAATATTATTTCTGGCCAAGTTCTTGGTCAATTCTTCCAGGCTTCTTTGTTTATCATTGCATCATAAACATTTCATGTTACTACATAGTCTTTCTATCAGTCATTTGAAGAATGTCCTTAAGACAGATTCCCAGAAATGGGGTTGTTTGGGTCAAAGAGTATGAACATTTTTATGGTTCTTGCTGCGCACTGCCAAACTGTGAATTTGCATCATCTCCTGAGGCTCAGTCCTAGGGTAAGGGAGCCTTTGGGGTTGGGGTAGTGAACAGTTAACAGGCTTGTCACTCGTGTCCATCTGTTCCTCTAGTAAGGTGCCTGTGGAGGAGGAGCCGCTATGCAGATGATGCTGCTGCCTGCCATGTAGGAAGTGCGCATGGAAAGCTGGCTCTGTGAACAGTATCTTCCTCTTCCCTGGCATAGGAGTTGGCTTTGCTGTGAATAAGAAGGTTCATGTCCAGCCAGTCTCTGGAAACACACGGCATCTGAAGCAGACTGTAGGAATTCCTAGGCTGCTTTTGCTACAGTTAAAGATAGGCAAGGGCTAAGCATTCGTCCTGGGTGTCACCAGGGTCATGCGCTTCGCGTTAAGTAGTTTTTGGGTTCTCCTTCCTCAGACTCTACAAGCTCTGTGGAGAAGCAGGTTTGTAATCATCTGGATCTTGTGCCTCTGCTTCCACCACGACTAAGCTTTCCTGTTTCTATGGGGGCTTCTGAGGCAGGGCTTATCTATTTTGAAAACTTATTTCATAGTCCAAAGACCAGGCTGGGAGAAATAGATCTGAAGTTCCAGACTTGCTAACCTAGGCCTCGTGCCCTCTGGCTGCCTCAAGCTCCAAAATGATATTTCTTCTTCTCCCAACAAAATCATTTTAAGTCCAGCCCAACTTAGCCAGACAAGCCCAATAAAGCACAAGCAACAGGATGGAAGAAAGAAGATCCTCTCTCCACAAATCCCCTGCTTTGTGGCCGAATAGTTTGTTTCATTCTTACTTCCTTTAGACCTGGGTATGTGTTTTGGGCTCAAACCAGAGATACTTTTGAAAGAATAACAAAGCAGAAAAACAAGCTTATTAAATCAATCATCACAAGGATTACAACTAATTACTGATTCATGAGATAAACACATCTTGGGGTCCCCTTATGGGTCCACCGCTTTGCTCTAGGCTTCCAGAGTACCTGCTTTTGAGCTCAGACCCCAAGAGGGAAACCCAGAGACCACAGGAAAAACCACTGTGGGCTGAGGGCCTGTGGGGTGAGGTGGACGAGGTAGGGGGGATGACCTTGGAAAGGAAGGCATGGTACAAGGGTTGTGCTTTTAGCCGCTGGTTGTAAGGACTTGAACGGGGCTTGTTAACTGTGACGTTGACATGAGGATGAAATGAGATAATCTACACGGCTGAACAGTGCATGGAAAAATAAGGTGGAGAACATACATACATATTCGTGTTGGGCAAAGGGACCACTTTGGCTTAGGTGGGGGATTCCACGTGGGAGTTCCTGGAGGAGCCAGGGCAGGTCTCCTTTCCGGTATGCCCCCAGGTGTCTTACATGTGGGCAAAGTCACTGACCCTGAGGTGTTGAGGAGGGAGACAGGGGCCCAGGGTAACCCCATTTCCTGCTCCCATTCCACTGGGGGTCAAGCCTGGGAAACTCCCTGTTGGCAGTTTCGGGCCAATAGCCTGATCAAGTGTTTCGTGCTGGAGGCTGCAACCAGAGATGGGAGAAGGGATTTGACCTTGAGTGTGGGGGAGAGAGGCAATGAAGCAAAGCCGCGTCTCCCTGACGCAATCCTCCTGGGTGGTGGTGGACGGCTCAGGCCAAGGACTGGTCATCCTGGCCTCAACAGACTATTCTCCTGCCCAGCCTCTTTCCCTCCCAGTCAGCTCCCTCCAGGCTGAGCTTTCTAGATCTGTCTGGGTGGTCCTACCCACAGCCCCTCCCCTCTTCCTCAGAGGCATTTAGCCATTTAGAAACCATAAACAAAGGCCTGGTTTATAGAACTCTTAGGTATAAAGATGGCTGTGGATAAAGACACCCCTTCCAGTTCTTTGGAAATACAGAGTGCCTCTACACTGAGAATGCAGCTCTCTACATTATTTTTGGGGTGATATCTAAACATGATTCCCTCCCTTCTCTGCTGTGGTTGGAAACAGTAATGCAATGTAGGACTAGTAAGTTAGGGCATCTGGCTTTGGGTAAAAGCTTGGATGCAACCTTGGCAGTCAGTCCCCTTACTGGCTCAGAGAACTCTTGCCAGCAGGTGGGGGAGGTGCGTGTTGGTGGGGAGTGGTGTTCCTGCAGTGATGGCTTCAAATTTGGTGCTACTTGGCAAGCTCCTGGAACCCCATTTCTCAGTACCTCCCCCAAATTATTCCTGATTTGGTATGGAAGGCCCCTCTTTTCCCTCTCTTCCTACACCATCATGCATCCCTGCGAGAAGCTGAGCACGCCCCACCCCACCGACTCTTCTGCCTGCCTGGTTCTGGCTTATGAATCCTGGAGGGGTGGTCTGCCAGCGGATACTCTGTCGCTCACTACATTTCAGACCTAATTAACTCTCTGGCATTAACTAAAAGGAAGTGAAAACTGTCCCAGCTCTGGAGGACAGAGCCAAGAATAGAAAATGAAAGGATCCCAGGCACCTGGCCCCTCCTGTTACCGACGGTAGCAGTGTCCTGGGCTGGGGGCTGCTTCTACCTGGGACTCCTCTGAGGAACTGACATTATTTGCTATCTCCAGTGGACTCTCCTGCTTGATTGGCAAGTCCAAGGGGAAGGACAGGACAGAGTCAGGAGGGGTCTGGGACCGTTTAATCAATTCCCTTTCTTCCCCTACCTTATTCTTTCTCCAAACATGCCCAGTTTTCACCCCCTTTCTCTGATCAAAGAGTACCATCTTCTGGTATATTGGGCCCTGAAGGGCCAAGAAAGCACTACAAAAGGCAATCTAACTTGAGAGCAGGCTGGACCTTTTAAACTCTGCCCATCGCTCAGCGTGATGGCCTAGTGGCTAAATCCTCTCCTTGCATGTGCAAGGATCCCATATGGG